CGGAGATGTACTTTAAGATGATTCCAAAGATGAAACGGGCAGTGCGCAGGCCCATTTGAGGATCAGCCAGGCGAATCAATTGCCGCAGTGTGATGCTTCCGACCACTTGGAATAAGATCAGGAGCTCGTTTGCTAACTGGCATTACAATCATAGATCAAAAGCAGCAGTCTCGGATCGTTATATCACTATCTCTTCATGTCATTTTGTCAGGCAGTCAATACCGGTAGTATGCGTCAAGTACAGCCTGATACAGGCTTTGACCACACATAATCAGCCACAAGCACAGTATGTCAGACTATGCGGGAATCCTGAGGAAGTAATTCGATGGCCTTCTTTGACCTCGAAGCAAAATGACCATCTTCAATGGCCGGTGCTCCCAAATCCAGAGGGCACCGTGACCTGTGGTCAAGACCCAAGGCTTCAGAAGAAGCACGCCGTTGGACTAGTCCAAACGGCGGATGAAACTTCCATGTGGAAGTAGGGGAAAATGTAAGGGCAAATTTTTTGCCTACTAACTCCCTCCAGCTTCCACGCGAATATTCCTACTTTACTCACAAGTCCCTCCTTCGGAGGCTCGCTTCGCGAGGGGCGCTTGCGCCCGCCTGGTACAGGCCCTCCGATCGAGGGACTTGGGTTAAGTTAGCAGTCCTCTGCAGTCGCAGCTTGTCAGTGTCATCACCGTGACATGTGCTGAGTTTCTGAGCGAAAGAATTACAAGTCAAACTTGCCAAAATCACTACCAGCGGCAACTGATACCGTTCGGACTTAGCGGCCCGAAAGGTCCAACACAAACGGCGCAGAATTAGTCGTAAAGAACCTGCACGGCGGCCTAATGATCGGAAACGTTTATCCGCGGAAGTGCTGGTGGTGAATGCCGATACATTTTGGCCAAGTACATCACAAGCTGCTACTTGTAATTGATTATATAAAGAAAGTGGTAAACAGGTCTGATTACTGTCCCAAGTTGAAGAGGAAGGGCTTCCCCAGTGATTCATTTCTATTTTACTTGTGATCATCACTTGACGGTACTCTTTCTTATCAATTACCATGTCTGTTATTTCCTTGCTGTCTTTTCGAGCAATTTTGTTGGCTTGGTGCTGCTTTCGAGTAACTCAAAGTATGCATAGTGTGTTTCCATTAAAAAGCGATGGATTGGATCGGGTGGAAGGTCTGGAATCCCGTCTCATGTTTGCATGTGTTTTGATTTTTTGCAAACATGGAAACTGATAGTGGATGTCATGATTACTGTCTTTCACAATAGGACGGTTCACATTTCAAATTTTTTAGCAAATTTTTTATTTGAAGTTAGCAGAGGGAATTGAGATCTCACGCTTAAAATTAGCCTGCTGCCAGTGCAAGTTTGGACAGAGTTTCGAAATCAGCAAGCAGAAAGTTTATTACAAGTTAGCAGTGGAAAGTGTGAAATGTGAACCGGGCTAATACCCCCAAAAAACCGTAACAGGGATAAGAATCAGAACATCCTTGAAAACTACCACAGGTAGTCGAACCGACTTGGAACCCTCTGCCACCGGTGATCAGATGGCTGGGATGCAACAGGAGTTTAGCAAGATGGAAGGTCAGTCTCCTTCTGTTCCCTCTGTCTGGAATTTCAACAAGGAAACCAGCTCATTACCCGAGATACATAAGCCAAACATAAATCAATCGTAGTGAGAGGAACTGATCACCGAACTCTTTGGGTTTTACTTAGATGCTAGCAAGTCTGGAGGTCTTTCAAAATTAGAGCAAGGTATTGATTTTTGTCTTGATCTCTATTTTTTGCAGTTGGTTAAGGCTGGAGCTGATAATTTCTTGATAGTGAAAATACAATCAATGTATGATGACCTTGATTTCTTAAGATGGTCTATTGATAATTTTGCTAGAAAATATTTGTGCAAAGCATTAGAAAAACATCCAGATTCTGAAATTTCCCAAAATTTGAGAACCCATTTTCAAGATTTATATAATATTCATGAGCTTTTGTTAAATTGTGTGAAAAACAAAATGAACAAACTGGGAGGAAAAAACTTGATAACCAAAATCCCTAAAGAAATATTCAATCCAGGAAATATCCATATGAGTGGCAGTATTACCACACATTCCCAGGGACATCTAGATCTGTTTCGTAGGTTAAGCTCTCTATTACATAAGATTGGTCACTTCCAAATTCAGAAAGAATTTGATTATCAAAATAGTATCCATAAAACTGAAATTTCACTACAGAGCCTAATCTTCCAAACAATGGATTACCTCTACAATCATGATTTTATAGCTGCAGAAGATTTTTCAAATTTCCTTCATACCAAAAATACACTCGAGATAGCAACAATAACTCTTTTCTTTGGGCCTCTATCCCAAACCACAGACTATTTTTATCATCCCAGCAGCTATACTTTCCTTGGAAAAGGCCATTTCAAGTATTTCAAGTCAATCTTTGAAGGTGCAATAAATATCTAATCCTTAGATATCCTTATTTCCCCATTTGATGACTATTTATATTTCACTGACACAAAATTTTCTGCTTCATTTCCTTGAAAATCAACCACAGTCATTGTTAAAAAGGATAAGAGAAAATTATTTTACCTCTTCATCAAAGCACATGCCATCTTTGATCATAAATTTGAATTGGGAAAATTGGAAAATGAGAGAGAGACAAACAGTGTAAAAGAGTTCAGAGATCTGATGAAATCAATTTTTGATGATAATTTATTCATTGATACATTAGAAGAGTATTTATCAGTTCCAAGAGCAAGAAAGGCTGAATTTAAGCAAAGCTCAAAATTCTTAGAATTGAAGAACAAGATTGAGGGGGTGTCTAAAGTTTTCTTGAAAATTGGAGACCAGGTAAACATTGAAGGAGAAAGATTCCAGCACAGATTTTTATTCATGATTCTGGAGTTTGTTGAGCAAAACTATGGTCAAGATTTACTTGAAGATAAATTGTTAAACTCTGAATTCAGGATGAAGTTTGATTTGATGCATTCTAGAAGTAAGTTTCTTGCAGCATCAGACAAAATCCAACAAAATTTTCAAAAATCCCCTGAAGATTTTTCCCATTTCCTCCACAACCAAAATGAGGAGAATACTTCAATATTAGAAAAATTTCATTTGTTCATCAATGAAATGGAAGACATTTTATTAGAGAATTTGGAAATATCCAATTCTCTTTCCAATTCTGAAAAAAATGAAAATTACTGTATGCTAGATAAAATCAAAAAAGAATGTGATTCTTTCCAGAATGATAGATTCAATTTCTTTTTATATGTAGATCACAAAGATGAATTTAATTTACACTGAAATATTCCATGCTTTCAGTTTCTCTCTGACTCTACTCGCCTATCGTGCCTCAAAATTTTCTTTAGGCTGACTTACTCTGCTCTTTTCAACTAGTATTTACTGAAGAGTTCCTTTCCAGGTGGGTATTTTCCGGTCATTTGGATATTGGTTTGATTGTCATTTTTCTTCATTTAACTGTACTAGTCATGGAAGATTATGCTTCCCTTCAAAACCACCAGCCTGAAGAACAGCTATGTTTCACAAACATTTCAAAACAATTATCTGGAACCCAAAATACTTTCCAATTGTTCTTTGAAGGGCACCACTAAATTTTTACTGGAATCAAGAGTTCATTGCTCCTGCGTAGCTCGAAAGAACCGGCAGGTGATGGAATTTCCCATTCTTTGTCGCTGGAAAGCCTGTTGCTCTGTGAGGTATAGCCAGGCGAGTGTAAATCGATGCCTGATGAATGTCCCGATTCCAAATCCGCAAGGGAACCTGATCCAGGGCGGTAAAATCTACCCGGGGGTGCAGTCAAGGACATGCGAAGTTGTGGACGTGAGATCGTCGAGGTTGAAAGTATTCGCTCCCGTGTTCCTTGGATATTATGTTCTTGTTTACGAAAATTACTTCCTGTGATGGTGCAGATGAGCATGTAGGCGAGTTAATAAAGTAAGCTTGATCGCTGAGCATTACTACATACCTTTTCGGTACATAGCCGTCTGGAAGCCTTGTAGAACTGATGATGAATCACTACTTCCGATGGCATTGTCGGATAACATTTTCATCTGGTTTTCGGATTTAATGACTTTTACAATCAGTTCATTCATGAGTAGTTCCTAATTAGATGAGGAGCAAATTTCCTGATAAGCGTAAAAGTATTTGTCTTGTTTGAGATTTTGTGTAAATATGCATTAGCTAGGCACGCCTCACAGTTTTGAGCTTGACGAATCCTGAGAGGGAGTTGAGCGATTCGTAGGGTAAACTGAAAGGCCAGTATCCACCATCAACTTTTGTTTTATGGATGGATGAAGGAAGCTTCAACGAACCTGCCGTGCATAAACCTGATTGAATTTCGGGACAAAGTAAAGGTCAACTAATCTTTACCATCGATGATGGCCAAAGTGTTGAAGCCTAACATTGAGCTAACAATTCCAAGGTCCTGTTTATAAGCCAACGCAGATACATCCTCAGTATGTGTGTATGCTTTAGCTCGAGATCGAAATGTCAAAGGTTCAATCACGTACGAGTGCAATCGACAAACCTATCACAAAAACGTTAAACTTCACTAATTCATTGCTAACAAGGCATTTAATCAGCCGTGTGGAACTTGTAATAATTACCATAGGAGCAAGTAAATTCAAATTTCACGACAGGGAGGCGAGTAAACAGCTCACTATTTTGTTAAACCGTTTGATATCAATGTCTTTCTAACAGAGATAATGAAAATGACATTCAGGAAAGCATCTGTTAACAAGCAAAGGGTTTTCCTTTTTTGCGGTGGGAGAGAGTAGTATTCCAATTTCCGTCTCAGCTCGGTATCCTCACATGAAGTTAGGCTCATATAGTTCACACACTCGGAAGGCTCCCAAAATGTCTCGAACTTGGTGTATGCGGCTGAGATCTGGATACGGGCAGGAATCTAATTATAGTTAATTGAAATAAAGATGTTAGCCGTCAGATTAGCCTGCTGAGGATGAGTCACGGATACTTGCAGAGCTGAGGTTGATGAGCGCAACCCAGGTAAAAACACCCCATCGCAATCGACGAATGTGATCCGGGTTAGACCATATCAATACGATACGGCTCACCTAAGAAGTATATCAGATAAAAGTCAGAGACCCGCGTTGCAAGATATTTTTTAAATTTTAATAGCTGACGATAATTTGCAAAACGCATTGTGACTGAGTTTTGTTCAGGAGAAACAGAGGGAATTAGATCTCTGGTCAGGCCATTTTCTTTTCGTGATCTTATCCAAGGGCAGCAAACCTGAATAGCCCCTGTAGAGACATTACGAGAGTAACTTAAGTGAGCATAGTCGGCTAAATACTTGAAACGGAACACCCGACCTTAATGATACGAACATAAAATTGACAACACGACATAATAGGCCAAAGGACGATGCACTATGTTTTCTAAGTTGAAGAACACCATCCAAGCAGATACCGAGGTGACTAGGATCTACAAGGATGTCATAAATCCGAGCCAGTTAGCCCAACGCGATCTGGTTGAGTTATTTTAGTCGCTTTCTCTCATGAAAAAATTCTTCTTGCTCACTGTCAACCATGTCATTATTGTGAAGGCACTAATCTTTCTTGTCCGTTTGACGGCATGGCAAATCACAAAAAAACCGAATCCTAGTGTGAATCCAAAGACAACGCCTGTCAGGTCATGATCTGATGCATTCTGTAAGGTTGGGACGTTGATTGAAGAGGTCATTTCTCGCTTCGGCAAATCATGAAAATGTAACATTTTGCAGGAGAAAGTCGATATCGATGCCGAGGATAGAAGTGTTGAGGACGCCTTTGAAGTACTGGAGGTCTCGTTCCGATTAGATTACTGCAATTTCATGAGCTGCTAAGCTGGCGGAGGCCAGAGAGGCCGGGACGTGGTAAGATCTCGAGGGGAGGGATCGTAAGACTTTTTTTTTAGCTAAACTTGAAAAGTTACAAGAGAAAAGCACCGTGGCTCATTACCTGTTTTCGGGCATCTGGCCAAAACAACCACTTCAGAGAGCGAAATCAACGCATGAACAGTGAGTGCACTGTTAGTTTGATTGATGACTCCATGGACCAGTCATGCAACAATCGAATGAAATTGGCTACTGTCAACGTTCGAGCGTTATGCCACTTCTCAGCGATCACATTCCTGTTCTTGACGGGAGGCTCATTATTTTTCCAGTGGTGACTTGTTTCCCTCCATCAGAAAAAAATGATATCGGCGCACTGGTGTATGTGATTTGTCCACTCTATGTTTGATCGAGGTAAACAAACTGTCCATGAATTTCCACAACTCCATTTAATGGGCTCCTTCAACTTCAAGTACGTATTCACATGCCAAGTGTTAATTTGGCAAAAAAGGGTGAATCCTGCACAAACTGGTTCGAAAGTTTTGTTATTTTGTTGAAATGCGGCACATGAGAAGTTGGTAAATGTCATCTTCTTAGCTGATATACATGAGACAGAAAGGATAGAAATGGGATAGAAACAGATGGCGAATTTTTTTCAATTGGCTATCGTCGGATCAACTTGACAAACAGACACATATGGACTCGCGATTCCTGTCCAAAGACATAAATCAGTTGAACTTAAGGATTGGAATTTGACAATCAGCATAAGACAGAACTTCTTACCAGTCATGAATAACTTAGAATCCCAAACAGCCAGGCCAGTGGTGCAGCTGACTTGTTGACCATCATCAGCAAAAACCTATCATAAAGTAATTTCCAAGTTACTTCAATACATCATACGCTCATCCTGGCTCAATTATATAAGAATTAACACATACCCTTTCCAGTCCAAGCCGCTGACTTGGTGACGATTCGGCTTCGGTAATATCAGTTTTGTTGGAGAATTTCCATACCTCAGAGGGCGAAACTAAGCTGTAATTTTCTTTGTTTAGTTCCCCTAAGATAGCTTGGAATTTTAAGATAGATGGAATCCCAGCAATAAACACTGAACCCGCACTGGTTACATAGAGATTGTCTATTATCCTTGGCACCTACAACCGCGTTTTAATTTCAATTTCTTTTAAAGTAAGTCTCAAAAGCGTGATAAAGCGGAAGAGAGAACAAGCTTAACCTTGAATTCCTCCTTCAACCTGAGTGTATTATCTGGCTGGATTTCAAGCAATCGCAGATGGGCGTTCAAAGAGTTTGCCATGTAGATCGTGTTCCCCGGTCCCTGTTTTCAAAGGACCTCATTATAACGCACTTGCTGAAGGTGCTGAGAAACAAGAACATGATGAACACGCGCACACTGACTCACCTTGGCTATTCCATTAGGGAATTGGTGACGGCCATGGAATGCAGAAATGCAATGCACCGATTCTTCAAATGAACAATGTACAACACTGTCCAGCTATAATTCATCCTCATGAATGATGTGTTGCCTATTTGTTTGGGCGACTCGGGAAAGAAGGATAGTAGACGTACCGCAGAATCTAAGAAAAGCATCTACTTGTCATACAATGAAGATTTCGTTTCCGCTCAACAAGTCAATATATCGCGGGGACTTCATTTGATAAACAACGGAAGTCAAGCGTGACATACCTCTAAATTTCTCGTCTATCAGGCATTCAACAACAACAACAACAACAAAAATGATATCAGAACCGTACTATCGAATAGAAAAAAAAACATCGGCAGACGAGAACGGCTGAGGGATTCACCCAATGCTTTTTCTTGCGGTGGTCATTTGTGACATAAAACGAATTTTGATTCATAGCCACAAGATTGTTCGGAGTGACTATCAAATCATGCTGTATTGTTCTTCGGTAGGTCGCCTCATCACTTCCTACGATAGTATCAAATACTTCGATCACACTATCGGCCGTGCCTGCTGATTGTAGGTCATCATTGTCACGGGGAGCGCGGTGGTTGGTCAGAAAGATGGTCGCCTTGCGAGGGGGGATTGACTCGGGTTCCGCTTCGGCTGTGTTGCTATCGGCCGGTTCAGGCTCCTCCGAATCCACAAACAGATCCAGTCCGTGGACGTGAATCCCATTCTCAAGCAGTGGTTCTGGCAAATTGGTCAGCTTCACCGGCCGGTAATCGAGTGTTTTCAAATCCAATAGTGCTATATAATCGGAGGATCGCCCCTCAAGCTTTCGGTGACTGTGATTTATACAACTATCAGTAGGAAATAACATAAAATGATCCTCAATACCATAGACGAACAACTCAACTTGAGTACATTCATAGCTGGTATCCAGTTGGCACGGTCCTTTCGCCGAGAACAAGCGAGGTATGCTAAGCCTGTTGGCTGGTCCACAAAGATATCTTCACATGCCTCCAAACCATCGATACGAGTACATTGTCCGTTGTTTAAATTAGCAATAGTTCTGAATATACCTAAAAATCACATTGCACCCCTCGGAGTGTTTTTTGTTATTTTTTTTTTCAGAAGAACGGGCACAACGAGTTAGCAAAGCATGAACCCCGGTAACTCGATAGGAGACCCCTGCAGTAGGATGATTGCTTACCGGCTTCTTGGATTTTTGGTTTCAGGATCGCTCCAATCAAAACCAATGCAGCCATCGAGAGACTGCGGGTGATGATATTCATATTTGACCGCAGAAGGTTGTGTTAGCGGGCGGTTCTTGGCTCCTCGAGTGTCGTTCGTTCCTAAGAGTACGGAATGGTCCAGGGATTTGATAAGACCCCCTAAAAGCCCAACGAGGATTTAACAGGAGTGAGTGGCCTTTTTATAAATGTATCTTTGGGAAACAAAGACAACGCTAATCGAGTAAATTTGATCGGCCTTCAAGCAGTGGGCTATCGTGCATACGACCTAGCAAGTCCAAGAGTCAAAGACTGCTCAAAACTTCGCAGGAAACTCAAACAAGTCAACAATCTACATGCTCATGCAAGCTCGCCCAAGAAGTCAGTCGTCTGGTCAAACTTGAAACTGTGATGATCGTCGTGAGAATGGAATATCAAGCTTCAAAGACAGTCATCCAATATTTGTTTAACTTGAATCAAATCAAAGTTGTACACTTGACATCACATTTGATCCAGTGGGTTATCTGGGCGAGGTGGAGTTGCGATTGGAGTACTGGCATGGACGTGAGTTGCCTTCTCAAAAAAAAAAAAAAAAAGGTGGAAGGGACAGCGCCTCGTAAGAAGCAAGTATGGATTGATGGCGTAAGCTAACAGGCAGAATGTGGCTATGATTGCGCTGGGGGGAACATCTGGAGAGAACAACAAATGGCAGTTCATCTCATACTAACTTCTAAGCTTATCATGAGCTCATGTGTTGGTAGCTCGCGGCAACAGGCAGCGTCAGCATTCAAGTGGAACTTGGAAAAACAAATATATACATTTGTTTGGAGATAACCTTCCTGGTTGTAATCTCCTGGGGGTTCATGAGCCACTTTCTCCTCTGTGGGGACGGCAGTCAGACTCAGATCACAAGCTAGAGGGTGAAGCAAGGCGGAGAGGGAGAAAAGATACGATCGTTAATTAGTGGATAAGGTGATCATTACTCACGACTGGCTCCTAACAAAGCTTCCGTGGAACCAACAAAAAATAACTTGACGTTGGAGGTAAGTGCACGATGGAGGAGGAGACTCAGAATGCGTTTAATTGGGTGGGGATAGAGTCAAGGGGAGGCAGGAAAGGGTTCGAGATGAAATACTATCAGAGGGGAATGCAAGACATCTATAAGTATGAAGCTTCGAATGGTGCTGTATGGAGCCAATCCAAATAGAATATTATCTCTCTTGGGGGAAAACAGGCTCTTTGGAAATTACGGCGAGAGAAAGTAAACTGGATTCGGCTTGCTCATGTCATTTCCATTGTTTCCCTCATCTTTGGTATATACAATGTGCATGTTCCATTAAGGATTTTCTAGCCGGAAAGATAATAAGAACAAATAGTAATGAGGTAGGTGCTCTTATTTACTCATCACATTCTTCTAAATGGTCTTCTTATATTCTTAAATGCCTGACGTTATCTCTGTGATTCAATTCGAAAAACTGTTTACATATTCTTTATGGCAAGTCAATTTTATTTGGCCGGCTCGCCAACCGCCAGGTAGGATTTGTCAAGCTTACAGCCTTGGCGGGTTCACCACCCACCCAGCCCACGGCTGATGTCTGAGACTGAACAAGGCTGCCAAGCGGCTTCTGAGTGTGCTTGATAGTAGCCAAGTAAGAGCTTGCTTGGGGCCGACATCAAAGTATCAACACAAAGCCAACCAGAACAAGCAAGGAGTACATCTGTCCCTTTCAAAAAGGAATAGTGATCGAAACAACAGAGGTGTGGTTTGAGGTACAACACGACCAGGAGGAGCATCACGTCTAACCCCATCCAGCAGACTTGAAATTCCAAATCGGGATCCCAAGAGTTTTGGTCCGCTTTTCAATCTGCGCATGCAGTCAGCCTACTGATTCGCGCCCTTTGTTTGTTCACACTCTTAGCCTTCAATAGGCGTTTATTTTGATCAGTCAATCGAAATTGAGCACCAGTTTACAAAGCATTAGATAATGTGATTCACCTGTGTCCCAACTCAAGTGTAGCGTATGTTACAACAGTTATACATAGTTAGGACTGCAGTGACATGGTTTCCTGGCACCGCTTCAAGTGGTTCTCTGCGGATGTAAATTCCTATGAATCAAGAGCAGTCCAATACTCCGTACAAAATCATTTCTACAGACCAAATCAATCCATTGACCACAAAAATCAAAACACTCATGAAGACAAGACTTGAAATGTGAAATCTCCCATTTTCCATGCCAGGTCCACATATCATATACGTCAAAGCGGACCCCAGGCCGCAAACAATGAAATCAAAGCCAAAATAAAAGGACGCTCTTGTCAACCATCTTACTTGGTTGCCATTAAATTCTAATTCAAATCAATACAAGATAGATAGAGTGAAGTAGACTAAACAAAACAATAAATATCAACTGGAGTGAGTTGCTGCCATTATCTTACACATATCCTTGACGAGGCGGTGCCCAATCTACGTTACAACAGTCAACAAAAATCGAAAACAAGTCAGCTGCAGTTAACTGGGAGTTAGGCACGGAAATTAAAAAGAAAGCAGAAAGTGGGACGCAACCTGATGATTGATTTGGTGGAACGGGAGGAGGTGGATTCATATACTTTGAATATCCTTGTGGCGGTGGTGGTACTGGAGCCCCTGCCGGAGGGTAGGAGGGTGTGGCAGCATTCCATCCTGGAATTGTACTTTTGTATCAGTGACCTGGAAATTATTACACAGAACAAGAGGTAAAACCTTACCTTGAGGCGGTGGCTGTGGAGGCGGGATAGGATAACCCGGCGGTACCGGCTGCTGATAGGTTTGTCCAGCAGGAGGCAGAGGTGGATATTGGGGTGTAGAGCCCGGGTACCGAGGCGTTACGAGTGGAGTTCGACTACCAACTAGGGGTGTGCGGTTGGTGAGCATGGGGGTCCGGCCACCATGAATCGGGGTGCGCCCGTTGGGAGCAAGTGACGGCGTCTGACGACCATAGATTTCAGACCTGCCTCCATGCCCAGCTGCCGTAGCTGCTGCTGCTCGCGCGGTATATTGGGTCTGTGTGAATCAGGGTTAAGCGGGAAAAAGGTCAGGAATCAAGTATCACAATTAGTTGGGGGAATTAGAATGCAAACCTTAAAGGCATTACATAGAGACAGCATGTCTCCAGCTTGAGTACCATGGAGTTCATACGCCCCAGGTGATACTTTGACGTTCTAGGTGATATAATGGCAGGCAAAAATCAGCAAACGAACATGTTGAACAAATTTCTAACCTTGGATGGCTTACCCATGTCTGCATTGGAGAATTCTTGTTGGCTTTGAATCCAATCAAGAAATTGCCAGCCACCTCTTTGTCAATACAAAATGCATAGGTAGAGCGATCGGGATTCGCCATCAGGTAAGTTTTCAAAAAATTGGCTGTTTTCAGAGCGCGGCGCGTAATCATCAGGATCCGTTTATCATTCTTCCATATTGTATACAATCAATGGTAAAGATAACGTGGTAGCAATGTTCTGGAAGTGCTTACACATGTCATCGTAGCTTCCTTTGTATTTTTCGTGTTGGATCATTTCTTCAACCTTCCGCGCCATCGCCCTGACATGAGAAACAATCAGTTCGTCAAGATCTGAATACGAGTATCGACCTCCGATCTTCAAAATCCTCCCGAGCGACAACTCGTTGGGCTTGTCAAGCTCCAGTACGTCTAAATTATAAAACCAGAGACCACAGTTAGTATCATGTGCGCTGTACAAGTACATCGATATGTAAGAAGTGTAACGCCTCACCAATATGTTGGTAAATGCCCGTGTCTACCTTCCATGTAACGGCCAAGTGATCAGTACCTCTAGAGCTAGGCCGGATCACACAATCTCCTCGTTGTAAGTTGGCCAGGTGCTGCTCAGCCTGTCCAGCGTTAAAGTTATGAAAGTTGGGATGCTTGATAATTCTCTGAGTCCGACGATTACCCGGTTTCTTTTTCGATTCCACTCGATCTTTATCGATTTCCATCTGAGCAATGTCGAAATATTGATCAGTTTCCACTTTTTTTCGATATGTCGCACCAGCCTCCACGACTTTGGGTTGAGAATTGAGTTCCACCGAGAAACGGTCCTTGTGGATTTCCATAACTATAGCCTGTGTTGTCGATCCAACTGGGAATTTGCTCATGTCGGGTGTCCCTTCATCCACCATGTAATTCTGATCGATGAAGCCTTCGATTCCGGAATCCAGTCGGACAGCCAAGCCACGATCACGGACTCTCGTGATTTTAACTGGTATGATCGCTCCCTGAGAAAGTGTCGCTTCATTTTCGCCCGTCCAGAGGTCAAACATCTGTTCGGGTGTCAATGGCTCAAACTTAGCCCGAATTTCCTGGTATGGATTTTGCAACTCAGACCTAATCTGATAGAGGGTTAATCGTTTCTTTTGCGCCATCAGACGGCAAAGCTCATCAGCAAAATCATCTAAATTTAGATCATCCAACTTCGACGCCCCATGACCGCCCTCGGCGGCCAACAAGTCACTGACTACTTGCGACGGTAGCTGCCCGGCAAGATCCTCTTCATCCAGTTCTTGAGCATCAGCAGCCATCTTACGTGCAACATCGTAATCTTCAGGATGTATCCTCGTATCATCCAAGATGTCGGGATCGATATTTCGATTCGGGCGAAGATCATCCTGCTTGATCCGCAAGAATCCGGCACAATTGTAGAAGATGTTTTTGGTAACTAAGTTCTCAGTGATCAACTCATTCCTCAAGCTAAGGGTACCTTCCTGTGTTACAAACAAATCCAACATTGGGTTAATCGCAAAATTCATTTTTAATCATTTTCAAAATGAGCCAAGTGACGTACAATGTGCGGGTTGGCATTGATTGACTTGATCAATTTCTGAGCTTTTCGCGGACCAAGTCCACAGACATACTGAAGGAGGCACTGATAATAGTGGTCATTGACAGCCCTGTTGATATCAACACCAACGGCGTTAACTATATTGACCAGAGCGCGTTCCAAGTACAATTGAAGAGTCTCTCTTGGTAGGAATTGTTGATCGGGGTGAAAGGATATCGCAGTCAAATCCGATGCAGCAGCAGCATATTCATTCAACGGACTCTGGACGTATCGGGCCAAGGCGACGCAATATCTTCCAAGAGGTGGTAGCTCCCCAAATTCATCTTCAGCCCGTTTGCCTTGCTGGTTTAATCTCGCGGTGTCGTCTCTAGCAACGATGACAGGGAAATTCAGTCTACTGATGGCCTCGGCAGTTAGTTCGCCTTGTGCGTTTTGCATTTCGGATTTCATGCGTTCAGATAATTCACCCGAAACAGTCTTCACGTCTCCCAATAGCCTGTAGGTGGACGCGCTGAATCCACCAACAACGATAACGTCTGGTTTACGGCTTTTTAGAAATTCTGAGAAGGCTTGGCGTGGATCGGGATCGCGCAAGTTGTCGAGCTTCATGTGATCTCGAAACCGCCCTTGTCTATCCATGAAGATCACAAAAACTGAATCACGCTTTGGATCACCTGCTCCGTTTGAAACAGCAACAACAGAGGGAATTTCGCCGTCAAAGAGATGATTTGGACGGAAAGGAGCTATATCCGCGCGCTGTTTCATAAAGTGTGCTCTCAGTCAGTAAAAGAAATAAAAGAAAATGCACGACAAACGCGAGTGTTGTGCAGGACAACATTGACTCACAAACTCAAGTTCATCAGCGCATTTCTGTGCCACGTATTCTTCAGCTTCATCCTTCAAGTAGTTTTTGGCCCAACGGGCTGCATCTGGTAATAACATATGCTCGATCGCAAACATCAAAATCTCTTCCCGAAGTTCATTCCATTGAGCTGACTCGTCTGAAGGATCATCGGACTTGAACATGTTGATCAGCTCGGTTTTGATGTCGCGGTCAGTTTGAGGGCTGAGGTGCACTTGCACATTGACTAGCAACTCTTGTTCAGCGGCCATAATCTGAAGGTATTGAGAAGAGTGCTTCAGAGCCGAAAAGGGCTTCTGACTGAGATATTTGAAGGCCTAGAATTACACGAAAGTTCTTCTCAGCAATGGGTTACAGACAAAGGAATTTCGAATGAAGGACTTACAAAATAAGGATGAAGCTCGTTGATTTTGTGAATCCCACTTTCAGTTGGCGCTACCGTAACTACCCCATGGTTTCTGAATAACTGCCGAACATGCTTTTTAAGTAATGGGTCACGTCCAATGTCGGTACTAAGAATAAATTTGGCCGCTGATGACGGAGCAGATAGGGATTGAGGAAGCAGCAACCTGGTCAGCAAAAACTTGCACAATGTATTTAGTTTTCAAGAAAACATCACTGACCTTCAATTGCTTTCTTGGGTTCTTCGAACTCTGTATCCGGATCGCAAAATGTTTCAGCATACACAAGCGGTTGTAAGGGTGGGTCATCCTTCTTATGTATTTTGTCGTGTTTCAAAAAGTTGGTGGTGAGTTCGCGGGCTGAGATACTAAATTCTTTGGAAAGGTGATTAATATTTGTGCTTTTGGCGCGTTCATATCGACTTTCACGTAGTGCCTTTTTATATCTGACAGCCTTCTTGGCCTCGGTAGCAGGTCCGCTGAGACCTTCGGCGTCGAGGTCGGCCAAGGCATCAGCATCGTCACGAACATCAGCTTGTGCTTCACGCAATCGATGTCCATATTTCAGGGTAAGCCACTGCATCAGATCAGCTACCTCTTCAACAGATTGGATGCCTGAAAAGCATTCTTCGAAGTAATCATCTTCAGTCCCGAGCTTGTCGAACAGTCGCTTGAGGCCCTTCTTACGCTCAAGCAGAGCAACATACTTCAAGGAGAGAGTATGGGCTTTCCAAAGTTCTTCACGGGTCAGGAACTGAATGTCTCGACTTTGAGCATCATGTCCTTTGGGGTCGTGGTAGGTAATATAATCTTGCCGGTGCATAAAGACAAAAGGGACTTCAAAGTATTTGCTAAGGAAAAAATCCAAAACGTCCTTCACGGCCATGAGGAAATGTTCTTTCATGAGGGGCGGGAATCCGTGTCGATCGGGTTGGATGAAAGATTCACTGCATCGTTGCGAAATCCTTGGCGCTATCCATTCGGCTGCACGTTCAAGCTCTTCTGGTCCAAGAACTGGCTCCGTAGAATTGATATTTGTAAGTCCAGCTGAAGCGAGTTGCGTTCGTTCAGGTATATCGAGAAGTCTGATCGCTTCATCAGCTTCGGTTAACATACGCTCCTTGATTTCACTCGGTTCGAAAATATCTTTCAATTGTACGGCCGCATTTTTAGCTTGGATATCCTCGCCGTCTCCATCTGGATCACCGTCAAAATTCAGATTGGGATTCTCCTCAATCTCCAATGCCCAAGCGTAGTCATCACCATTTCCGAGAACTTCAATGACTTCATCCCAGGACTCTTTTGTAATATCGGAGACATCGGGAGCCAGGGCGCCCATCAAGCGACCCGCCTGTTTTTGGCGTCCAGTCGTGCCTTGTGAAGAGCGGACGTGCTTATCTTTTCTTTTACTAGGTCTTGATGGTAAGTTTGAAGGTTCATCCTCTGGGAACTCATCCTCTTCGATAAAATCGTCTAGGTCATCTCCACCAAGCGTATCACGAGGGCGAGCAGAAGTTTCGAATCCGTCATCTTCATCGTCGAAAATCCGATGTAGATCATCTTCAACATCTTGATCGATGTTATCAGAGGCCACCGATCCCGCGCGTCGCAATCGTCTCTAAGTTTATTGCGGCGCCCATCATGTGGTCAGATATAACTGTACCAAACAATCTTGATCGGGTACCGAAACAAAAAAAAGTATTACCTTAGCCTTCCTTTGCGTAGGAACTCCCGTATTCTCAGCCAACAATTCTAGATCATCTTCATCCAAGTCATTGTCTTCGTCGTCATCATTGGCAACTAAACGTCATATCAAAGGATCGTGGAGCTTAGTATTTTGTCTTCTGTGTCTAACTATTTTGATCGCAGTGCTGGTGGACATACCAGAGCGATGTCTCTTGCGCTCTGAATGCTTGTGTCGATGACGATGTTTGCGTTTTCGCTTTCGTGAGGAGCGATCCTCATCTTCTGACTCAGCGTCTTCTTCGTCTTCATCAGCAATAAATCCTGCAGAGTGAGGTGAAAGTCAGTCTGAGTTGTGCGCATTTTCTGAATACCAGTTGTGTGGGATTGAAATACTTGCCTTCACGCACTGCCCTCTCCTCCTCACTGCCCTCTTCTTCTTCCTCGCTGCTGTCATCCAGACCGTTCTGCACGGCTTCATCCTCCTCCCCGGCTTCGTTTGCTTCCTCAGTCTGTTCGAAATCCTTCTCGTTTGTCGGTTCCATTGCTTCAATCGCGACAAGGGCTTCGGTTGAGGTGTGGTGTGAGTGATGTTGAGGAAAAGTGTGGTCGACACGATAAGCCAAACGAAGCAGGCTATTTATTTATCCGAGGGGGGTTGGTGTCACCCGGCGTGACAGAGCTGTGAAAGCTCCTTCAGTGCCCGCTCCCTGGAGTCCCTGCGCTGCGGCAGAACTTGGGGAGCGGCGACGTCATTTCAGGTAAGGATGATAATCCGGCGGGCTCGGGCCTCCGGCGCTAGCACTCGCGGCGGCGGGGTCGCAGACGGAGTAGGAACTGGGATCGGTTCGGACCTCGGGATAAGCTAAGCTCTGGGGGTTCCTGGCGCTCGGTCAGGTCCACTCGGACCTGACTGAGCGCCAGGAGTCAGGACCCCTGTTGTGAATGATGAAGAGAAAAATCCTTGATGTATATTTCATGTGATGACAGATGCTAACTATATATACATGTTAATATCATAATCCAGAATATTCTATAACCTTCTATGCAAGGTTTGTCTATCTATATGCATACTCCTCAACACCCCCCCTCAAACCTTGCATCCCTCCACAACAACAAAACAATGAGACTAAAGAGATTAATAACAATAGCAACAAAAGAATAAAGTAAATAAATTGTTGAAAGAGAGATAAAAATAAGGGGGTTGGAAAAACGACTCCCAAATTTTCGCCGACAACTCCCGTTTTGGTCGAGGGGTCGTCGGCTGGGAGTCGTTCTTCCAAAAGATGGCCGACTTTGGGAGTCGGCCATCAAATGTTTTTTTTAATTTTTTAATTTATTTTTGGGGAGTCGGCGCCCCAAACCGCCCCTCATGCTTGAGGGGGTTTGGGAGTCGTCGCTCCCGCTCCCATGACCAACAAGAAAAAAAAGTCTTATCGACCGGAAGGGATTCCTTCCGGCCATAAGGGGTAAAACACCCTCATCGACGGAAG